ATGTTTCTAGCTTGTCAAAAATCCAAAGTGAAAATAAAATTAAAGTTTTATTACAGTAATTTGAAAAATGCCGTGGAAACTGCCAAAATTGCCGTAGACAGCTGTTACGTTCTACGGCAATTTTTAACGCCATTGCCGTCGATTGATTTCAGGGAAATTCGAGGCCTGATATGTATATGGATGAATTTATATGTACTTCGATGATTTTGGAAAAATGTAATGTCATTTTGTTGATTTTTCAATTATAAAAACATTCTAGAGCCAGTTTCCCAAAATTTGCGCATTTTTTGAGCCAATAGTTTGGCAGGCGAGCAATTAGCCATCCCGAAGTTGATTAGTGGACTGGGGACTGTAGTGTTACGTCACTTCCGGTAAGCCTCGTGGGAGGCATTAGCTAGGCGAGCGAGAGCGGGGAAGTAAACACATATTTTGCAAGCGAATTTGAGCTATTAAAACTAGTAAAACCTAAGACACAACATTGGCGACGAGGATGGCGACGATGCCTATAGTAAATCCAATGCCTCCATTTGATCCTGACTCGGACATTGGAGCAAATATTGGCCCCAAGTGGAAAATATGGATGGAAGACTTTGAGATGTACATTACCGCGAACGGCATTACAAAGCCAAGAAGCGAGCGCTGCTTTTATACCAGGCAGGCGCCCGAGTTCGCGAAATTTTTCGGCAAATCCCTGATAATGGAGATGACAAAGACTACGACAAGGCGGTTTAGAAACTAAACGAATACTTTGAACCACAAAAACATCGATTGTACGAGGTGTACAAATTTCGCGAGGCACGACAAGACGTCAGCGAAACTTTAGATCAATATTATACGCGATTGCGGAGTTTATCTACCCGATGCGAGTTTGCTGATCCAGATTTTGAAATAATGGTTAAAATTGTCTTATGTGGTCGCTCCAGTCGACTCCGAAAGCAAGCCTTACGTGATCCCAAGTTGACATTGAAAGACTTACTAGTTTTGAGCTGCCAATGTCAACGAAGTCGTCAACAAGCTGCAGAGATCGAGGAAAATACAAGAAACAATCAAACCGGTATGAACGATGACGCTGTTGTGGATGCTGTTCGCAATACCCCTGCTGGAAAGACATCGTAAAAAGGGGTTTGCAGGAATTGTGGTGTTGAATGGCCACACAACACGGGAATATGTCCAGCAAAGGGCAAAGAATGCCGAAAATGTTCCAAACTGACCCATTTTGCGAGAGTGTGTCGATCTGCGCCTGCGGTGGCGCGAGGTCAGCGGCAAGACCGTGGACGATGGCAAGGACGTCATGAAAACAAACATATTCGGCCACTTAATGTTTCGGACAATGACAATGAATCAAGCGACTCAGACAATAATTGTTATTCAGTTAACAATACAAAGGCGCAAAATCCCTACACATTGCAAAATCCCTACACGTCGCATCCACCTGAGAGCAAAAGCCGATGCGGAGTTAAGTCGGTTGCGGGATGAGGACATCATTGGACGCGTACCAGATACAGAAGCAACCTAATGGATATCTCCAATCGTCATCGTGCCAAAAAAAAGACGACAATATTCGCCGATGTATTGACATGCGCGCGGCAAACACTGCTATTAAACGAATTCGACACCCCATACCAACGGTCTATGACATTTCGCATGAATTATATGGTGCTAAATTCTTCACAAAATTAGACCTTACACAGGCATATCACCAACTTGAGTTAGCCCCTGAAAGCCGTCAAATCACAACATTCATCACACACGCAGGATTGTTTCGTTTTAAGCGTTTAAACTACGGCACAAATTCGGCCGCAGAAATCTTTCAACATGCACTGCAACAAGTTTTGCATGACATCTCAGGAGTCCGCAACATTGCCGATGACATTTTAGTTTTTGGATCGTTTTGACCCTCATGGTTTGACCCTCAACTTTGACAAATGTCAGTTTCTGTAGCCTAAGCTTGAATTTTTTGGACTTAACTTTTCAGCGGACGGTGTTCGCCCAGATCCTAAGAAGGTTTCTGCCTTGGCTACTGCTGCTATGCCCACCACGGTGAGCGAGGTCAAAAGCCTCCTCGGCATGGCTAATTACAGCTCACAATTTATCCCCAACTTTGCCACAATCATGGAACCATTACGGCAACTCACCCACAAAGGAACACCTTTTATATAGACTCAGGAACAGGACCATGCGTATAATACACTGCGAAAGGCTTTAATTAACAGTCCTGTGATGAGTTACTTCGATGTCAACAATTAAAGCCACTGAAGTGACAGTGGATGCGAGTCCAGTGGGGCTGTCAGCGATCTTAGCTCAGCGTGATTCACCTTCATCACCCCCGAACATAGTCGCTTATGCTAGTCGTGCTCTTACCTCTACCGAGCGACGCTATTCGCAAACTGAAAAGGAGGCGCTGGCCGTGGTGTGGGGTATTGAGTATTTCCATTTGTATCTGTATGGTGCAACTTTCACTCTGTATACCGACCACAAAGCCCTCGAAGTCAACTTTGGGAACCCAATTTCAAAACCACAAGCCCGAATAGAGCGTTGGTTCCTACGCCTCCAGCAATATAAATTTCGGGTTGTTTATAAATCAGGCAGTACAAATCCGGCAGACTACTTGTCTCGCCATCCCCCTGATAGTAAACAAAAACAAACGAACATTGCAGACAAGTACATACACTTCGTAACACACACAGCAGTCCTCCCCGCACTTACAGTGGACGATGTTCGCAAAGCAACCAGCAAAGATACATTACTTAGTTTGGTACGTACAGCAATCCAGACGGCACAGTGGTCCAGTAGTGAACTGAAACAGTTCAAGCCCATCAAAGATGAACTATCTATTGACTACACCAACAATGTGGTGCTTCGGGGCATCAGACTTGTAATCTCTTCATCACTGGTTCAACGTGTTATACAGCTGGCCCATGAAGGGCACCAAGGGCAGGCCAGAACAAAGCCAAAGGCGTTGATACGGGAACACGTTTGGTTCCCAGAAATGGACAAAAGTTCGTGCAGAATTTGAAAAGTGCCTCGCTCGTCAAGCCACTGGGCAACCAAGTCAACCAGAACCCCTTCGGTCCATCCCGCTACCTAACAAAGCATGGGACAAACTCAAGATTGATTTCTATGGCCCATTACCGACTGGACAGTATATTGTGATGATCCTCGATTGCTATTCTCGATTTCCGGAAGTAGAAGTGTTGTCTTCGATCTCTGCCAAGACTGTAATCCGGAAACTCGATGCAGTTTTTGCCCGGCATGGTGTCCCTTCGCAGGTTGTTTCAGACAATGGGTCACCTTTCCAAGGACATGAATTCAACAGATACATGACCAAAATGGGAATTCAGCATAATACCTCCACACCTCTTTGGCCTCAGGGGAATGCAGAAGTTGAAGCGTTCATGAAGCCGCTCGGCAAGGCTATTCGAACGGCTAACCTCGAAGGACGACCTTGGAAACAAGAGCTCTCCAAGTTCTTGTTGGCGTATCGGTCTACCCCCCATTCGACCACAAAGGTACCACCTGCTCAGTTGCTATATAACCGAGAAATTCGCGGAGAATTGCCCACAGTTCCCCTCAACAGTAAAGTCATTAACCGACATAGAGAAGCCAAGCAAAAGGACAAAGAACAAAAGCAAAGGGGGAAACGATATGCAGACTGTCGACCGCATACACGAACAAGTAAACTACGAGTTGGAGATCGTGTTCTGGTGAGGCAAAAGAAAACGAATAAATTTTCAACCAATTTCAGTCCTACGCCATATACTATCGTTGCCTTAAAACGGTCAAAAGTAGTCGCGAGAAACCAACAACACTTCATCACGCGAAATGTATCGTTCTTCAAGAAGATAGCGGAACAAGCAGTTAGTCGAGAAGAGGGTGATGAGGATGTTGTTAGCAGAAGACAAGAAGAAGAAGGAGACCAAGTACAGGAACAATACCAACAAGAACAACAAGAGCCTAGAAGATCTACACGAAACACACGGCAGACAAACTTTTATGGACACCCAATAAACTCGGGTTTGAGACTGCAAAAAAACCCACTCAAACAATAACTTCATAGAGTAATTTATTTTGACATTTGCATTGACAGTTTGAAACTTTTGACATTTCTTTGTTCTGTTAGAAAAAGGGGGTAATGTAGTGTTACGTCACTTCCGGTAAGCCTCGTGGGAGGCATTAGTTGAGAGAACCAGAGCGGGAAAGTAAACATATATTTTGCAAGCGAATTAGAGCTATAAAACTAGTAAAACCTAAGACATAACACCATGAACAGCCGATAACAAGCAAACTACTTTTTAAATAGTATTTAACTATACTTTTATTTATTTTTTTCGTTTTAGAACATTCGGGGATGGCCAACCTCGTTCCCAAAGCTCTTCTCTCTTGAGGAGGAAAGACCCTGGTCGGAGCTGGTCACGTGGTTCCCAGATTCTGGGTGCTAAATTGAAATTGAACTTAGCGAGTGGTGGTAGAGGAGTGCGCTTGTTGCGCTTGGAAAATTACAACTAGTGTGTTAACTTTCGGGCGATAAAATTTAAATTTGCAACAGAAATCCTGAAAGATTTCGTATTTATTATGACTCGACTTCCTCTATATCATTGAGTGTTTGGTTACATTAGTCAAGCGAGAAGTTGGATCAGATTTCAGTGGACATCAAGGCTTGGCAACGAAAGGACCCTTTTCGCCGTAAAAATCTTCTAGACCGATCGAGCGAACGATATGGTAGTGACGTTGTCAGTGTTGAAGTGTATCCTGTCCGACACGTAAACCCAATGGATATACCTCGTGTAGAGACGTGGAATTGCTATAAAACAGCAAGATTCTGTGACCCGCCAACTGTGTGTAAATTCTAAACATGCTCTCCCGACTGTGAAAAGCCCATATATGTAAACCGTTTTGGGATCGCTGAGACTGTATGATCAAGAATTGTGTCGAGGTATAACTCTCTGCCGGTAATCAAACGTGTGGTAAAGTCAAGACAAAGACTCTACTTTCGTTGCGTGCGGCACAGTTTGAATATTTAATTATACAAAGAGACTGTATCCTGTATATAATATTGTATAATATGCGTATTGCGTATACACAGTTATTTCATATTTAACGCAGTAATATACACCAGGCGCATTATAAATATTATAAAGAGGTTTTATTGCCAGTAGCTTTGTAGCTTGATCTATCCCAATTTTGTTTTGTCATGGAATAGCATATGAGATCCAACTTGTATTTTTAAAATAAACACACGCTGCTGTGAGACATCAATATAACTATCGACTTTTATAATATAACTATCGGTTTAATATTTGCCTTTAAGATAGCATTTTAGCCTTTGGAAAGGCTGAAATTCAGTTTTTCGAAAACTACACTGGCGATTTTCAAATAACTTTCAAAAAAGATTTTTAAAAAACTTCATAACAATTAGGCCGTATTAATATATTCTGTGGCCGCTTATCGTTCAGTTCCGCTGCCCCCATTCGGGGTCTACTTTTAGTTTACATGAATCTATAGATTTTGATACGCTGAGTACGAATTCAGTTGTTGTAACTCGCACAGACCCGCAGTTTGTTTGTATTTTACGATCAAACATCAACATTTTTTATTAAAATTCCCGCCATTTTGTTCAGGAAACTTCTTGTTATATACAGTTATTGTACTAGTCTATTATTGTACTTAGCAGGGGGGTTGCACGCGGTATTAAGCAGGTTGTTATCATTCTTCTGAGAAAAATATACAGAAATGAAATAAAAATATAGATATTTTTTCACAATATAAATGCAAAAGGTACTGATACATGTTTGTAAATAATTAGGAATTAATCTATTATTCTTTATTGCATCAACTTTTTTTTTTTTTTTGGCTAATCATGATGTGAAATTGCAAAGAAAATAATTAGAGCTGCTGGTATAATGGCTAAAATACGACATTTCATAAATCGAAATACTCTAAAACGTATATATTATGCATTAGTCTATCCATATTTGATATACGGCAACTTAACATGGGGTAATACTTATAAAAGTCGAATCCAAAAAATAATGAACATTAAAAAAAATTGTACATCTAATGACTTTCAAGTCTTATTTAGAGCACAGTGAGCCAATTTTCAAAGATTTAAATATCCTAGACATTTTCAAAATCAATGACTATTTAATTTCCTTATTTATGTTTCGATGCCACCACCTTAACAATTTACCAGATTTCTTTAAAAATTATTTTGTAACAAACAACCAAACTCATGAACATAACACGAGAAATGCATCAAAACTTCACAAATGTTATAAAAGAACAAATTATGTAAAACACTCTCTCTCAAATAAAGGAGTTGATGTATGGAATTCGTTAGAAACAAAACTTAATGAAGTAAACTCCTATAACACCTTTAAAAAGAAAATTAAACAACATTTTTTTGCTATACACAATTACCAATATATAAAACATACTTCTCTAATGTATATAATGACATATACTTTAGTATATTGTAGCCCAGTCATTAACATTGTAAAATTAAATGCATCTACAATATTACTATTAATTTATATAATACGAACATTCCCACTTCTTTTTCTCTCTTGTAAACATAGTATATATACTTCAAAACTTTCTGATTTTATATGTTATATATTGATTGACTGTAAATAATCGATTATGTGATAAAACGAACGTAACTAGAGACCTAAAATAAAAAGTCTGTAAAGACTTCTAGTAGGTCTCTAGCCCAAAATCTTCAAATTATTGTAATATATTTTAAGTAGATTTTCATACATGGGAAAATAAACTAAAAAAAAAGAAAGAAAAAAAGAAAAAAAAGACTGTCACTATATCCACAAAGACTCTCACAGCTAGTCTCACTTGTCATTGGTAAAGTTGTTTATTTTATTTATTACTGAAATTATGTACATAATTTTGGCCTTGCAATGTGAATAGCCAGAATAGGCAATTTTTCTTTGAAATTTTTGTCAACAATGAATAAGGAGCACAATATATTGTTCAATAAATGTTAGACATATTTGTAGACCATTCCCCTTTAAATTATTAGTAGCAGTTGACCTCAATAAAATTAACTCATCTATTTAATAAATCTGCACATAATTAGTTCCATTTTCTTGTATTATAATAACATTTTTCCTATTATGGGACATTGAGCTTTATAAATAAAAACTTTTGGAAGATGGCTTTCACTCCGCTCTAGCTGACAGACATGCAGCCTACTTTTTGTCTGTTTATATGGAGTTAACCCAACCTAGATTAGCTATATTTCTTTAATTACTTTATTGTTATTTAAGTATTTACATTAGCAAATGGTGGCTGCACAGGACATACCCCAATTATTACAGCTACAATATAACAACCGGCCTAGCTTGGTTTTTCAATTTATGTGAGACTGTTGAGGCAAGCATGGGCTTGCTGGAACAAAGCAGCTGAGCAAAAAACTATATTCACACAAGCAAATCTCAAAGTCATGCCACCTAGAAACATTATAGTCCAGCGGAAAAGTAAAAAAATCATGCAATTTGTGAAGAAAGCACCCAATTCACAGGAAGTGTAGACTTTAACATGATAATGAATCTTAGACATGGAGGAATCACCAAAATTGATGCTGACTGCTTAAAATTTAGGATTACTTATATTCTCTTATTAATTAACAATTATTCGCCGAAGGCGAGGTGATTATCGGTGAATAAAAACCGAGACGAAGTCGAGGTTTTTATTCACGATAATCACCGAGCCTGAGGTGAATAATTGTTTTAGTATAATTTCACAGGTGATTATTTGGAAAAAAATTAAAAATACATATTTCTTCGTCATTTAATTGACAAAACGGCTTCGGCCGCCATTTTGAAAATCGCTTAGGTGATTATCGCGTAATAATCACCTCAACGGCAACCAATCAGCGTGAAGAATTTTCAATAATCACCTATGTAATTATACTAAACTCTATTACTCATGTTTCGCTCGCTACTCTGGTTTAAATAAATGATTACAAAGCCCAGTCGAATTGTAATCAAGACCCAACGTTTCGACACTCCAGTCTAGTGTCTTCATCAGGGGTGATCTGAAACTTCGATCGTGGCTTCTTAAATACCCAAGGGATGACGTCACCTGCCAAGAAGATGCATATATTCTTCTGGCAAATAGGCGCCGTCATCCCTATTCAAAGCATGATGACTCATATTTATATGCCACGCTTCTAGGCAAAGTCTTTGACCGTAACGATTGTTTGTGGTAATTACTTTAGAGTTTTCCCACGCAATCTCGTGTTTGATGTAACATACATGTTCGGCTAAAGCTGATTTTCCCTTGTCTAAAGTTGAAACAGCCTTTTGATGTTCTTTTAGCCGTGTACCAAACTGGCGTTTAGACTGACCCAAATACTCTTTATCGCAGTCACCGCATGGTATAGAATATATAGCATGAGTCTTCTGATTTTTTTCAACAGGATCTTTTGGCTTTGCGAAAATATGGCCTAAGGTCAATAGGGTTTTAAGGCAACCTTAATATTACAATTACTTAAGATTCTCTTGATTGGTTCTGTGACACCTTGAATGTATGGAACTATTGCAAAACCCTTAACAGAGGTATCACCCTCGGAGTTTTTTTGTGTTTCTACAAACAGGTGGTCTCAGGCAATCATTAAGAAAACGCTTTGGGTAATTGTTTTCCCCTAAGACATTTAGAACATATTCACGTTCATTAGCTTGAGAATCACTGTTTGACGGCAACGATTCAGCTCTTTGAAGCAAAGTTTTTGCTACGGATCTTTTATGGCTTACTGGGTGATGAGAGTCGTATGACAAGTATTTGTCTGTGTGTGTGGGTTTGCGATAAACATCAGTCTCTAACTTCTCTTCGACAGTTCTGTGTACATTCAAATCTAAAAAAGCTAAATGTCCATTTATTTCACGTTCTACCGTGAATTGGATGGACGGCTCAATAGAATTTAAATGTTGCAGCAGAATATCGATCTCATTTGTAGAAACCGCAGAGATGACATCATCAACGAAACGTTTCCAAAACGATAGGGACACCGGAACAGAGGCTAAAGCTCTTTCTTCGA